AAGGACGACCACCTGAAGAGGTACACCCGGGAGGGCGAGACCCCGAGGCAAGAAGCCCCCGAGGCCAAGAAAGTAGAAGAGCTCCCCTCTTCCGACGGCGACAACGGACTCCAGGTCGCACTGTGCGTCGGCCGCCTTGAGGACTGGTTCACAGACAGAGAATTCGACCTCCCCGACGGCCCCGACCTACCCGACGAGCCAGTACGACCAACCAGTCGGTGGGAATACTTTGCTAGAGCCATGGTCATCTCGGGCGGCGCCACAAGGAACCTGTCCATAGGATCGGTGAAAAGAAAATTCGACGAGCTTATCACAAGCAACTCCGGTAAGATGAGCACGCTCGAAAAATTTCGCTGACGATCCAATCCGATCACATTCTACCTCGAGGAACTCCCCGGGGGCTCCCCCAACTCCAACATCCCCCTGCTGATACGGGCGCGGATGGCGAACTTCGACGTCAGACGCATCCTCGTCGACGGAGGCAGCTCGGTGGACACCATGTACACCCACCTCTTCACGACCCTCCAACTCGACGAGTCCAACCTGTCCCCTTACGTAGGCTCCGACCTTCAGGGGTTCAACGGGACGACGACGAGACCTTGGGGGTACGTGGAGCTGAAAGTCACTTTCGGGGAAGAGGAAACGGCCAGGGAGATCAACATCTGTTTCTTAGTCATCGAGTGCCCGTCCCTCTACAACTGCATCCTGGGCAGAACAACGATAGCAGAACTCACCGCGGTGCCTTCCACCGTCCGCCTAAAGATGAAGTACTACACGAAGCGGGGGGCCGTCGTGACCCTGAATGGGGACATCGAGGCCGCCCGAAGGTGCTTCGAGGCTGCACTAAAGGGTTTGGACACCATCGCTCCAGCAACTAAGAAGGCGACCCTAACCGTGGCGCCAAAGAGCGAACCAAAGGAACTCGTCGGATCCGTGGACCTCAACAGCCGCTTCACCGAAGAGCACGATCATGAAATAAGGACCAACGAAGCCAACCAGTCCAATGGGAAGCCCACCCACCCGACACGCCCCATCCCAGATGGTGAATTCGAGATCGTCACACTCGGGGAGGACAAGAACAGAACCGTGAAGATCGGCGTCGGACTCCCAGACTTAGCGAAAAGACAGCTACAGGTCTGCCTCCGCGAGAACGCCAGCCTCTTCGCCTGGAGCGCCGCAGAAATGCCAGGACTCGACCCCGAGGTCGCCTGCCATCAGCTGTCCATTAGCCCGACCGCGAAGGCCGTAGTTCAACGTAGGCATAGACAGTCCCCCGAAAAATCGGCGGAGGCTGAAAAAGCTGTAAAAGACCTCTTAGTGGCGCATTTTTATTTCGGAAGCCCGGTATTCAACCTGGCTGTCCAACGTTGTACTCGTTAAAAAGAATAATGGAAAATGACGCATGTGTGTTGACTATACAGATCTCAACCGGGCATGTCCTAAGGATGCCTACCCTCTCCCCAACATCGACAAACTCGTCGATAACTCCGCGGGCTTCAAGCTCCTGTCCTTCATGGACGCATACTCGGGATACAACCATATCCCGATGGCCGAGCACGACAAACAGAGCACGGACTTCATGACGGCGTCGAGCAACTATTACTACAACGTAATACCCTTTGGCCTAAAGAACGCCGGCGCCACGTACCAACGAATGATGAACAACGTCTTCCGGGGAAAAATCGGCGACATGCTCGAAGTCTACATGGACGACATGATCGTCAAGTCCTGCACGGAGGTCGACCACACAACCCATCTCAGAAAGGTCTTCGACACAGCGAGGAACTGTCGAATGCGCTTCAACCCGGAGAAATGCACCTTCGGCGTTCGCGCAAGGAAATTCCTAGGCTACTATCTAACCGGAGAAACGCCACGTAAGCCCTAGCAGTCACCTGGGTTGGGCCTGACAATCCAATCCAACACAAGTGACCGTTGGCCCAGCGCTGGGGTCTCTATAAATACCCTCTTTCCCAAGAGGGTCAGGTAATTCACTTCTTACCCCCTTTATGTACTTTGCTCTCACTCTGCCCAATTCCTTACTTTGGCATCAGAGTGTCTTGCAGGTACACCCCCTTCTCCTCCTCATCACCGGTGAACAGGTAGCAGTCCAATAGCGTGTGGCCAACCCGTGATCCCCTTCTGATCAGGTCAGATCAAGAACCATCTTCAGTAATCAAATAAACAACAATATGAATCATCAAAAAGACAAAGGGAAAAATGAAAATTACCCATGAGGATGGCATGAATAAGAGGAAATATACATCCAGAAAAACTACAAAACAACCACACCAACATTCAAAAGAGGTACTGCAACTATGAATAAAAAAGAAGAGAATAATAAACTTGAAAACCAAATTGTCACATTAAATGATTGTAAACTTGATATTAAGAGGAGCTGGATCTAGTCCTAGTAAATCTAAACATGTCCTCAATAAAGTGGTTAGTAATGAAATATATAATACTAAGTGATCATGGTTTATAAAAAACAACATACATGACATCTGTTTTAAGCATAATAATGAGAAAAACAGAAAGAGAAAGGATAATATGTACAATGTGGTGAATGAAAATCCTAATACGAAATAAAGTTATTCTAGTCATAGTAAAGAGAAAGTTCATATCAGATCAAATAACAACTATAAATAAGATATCAAAAACCACGAGGATACTCACACAAGTAGGAAAGCCATAAAAGCTTCAAGATGAAGAGATATTAATGTTGATCATTAGGCTAAGTTGGAGGATCATTGCAAACCTAAAAAATTATATCCAAAGAACAAAGAAGTTAGTTGAAATACTACTAACAAGAAATATCAGATGAACATGCAAGAAGTAAAAAAGAATAGTGATACAAATAAAAGCAAAGATAATAATGAGGAGCATACCATCATTAGAGAAGAAATCAATAAGTCTCAAAACTACAAATAGACGCACAAAGGAAACAACACAATGAGATGCAATCACATGCATGAAGTTGCTCAGATGAGGAATAGAGAAATAACTAGGGATACTCACAATGATAGAAATAAGAAAGACAAAAACCCAAAAAATCCTCTAAATGTCAAGTTGATTGCAGAAGTGAAGCTGAAACTTGAAAAAAAAAAACAGCTTGTAAGGACATGCGAGACAATAATGAACAAAAATACTATAAGCTCAATAGATACTTTCAAAAGGGAATGATGTTAGAAAAATTATGAAGAAGACAATGAAGTACCTGCTCAAAATCCTAGAGCTCATGAGATGAACCACAACGGTGATGAAGACCTCTATAACAATAGATTCATTATCCATACTAACGCAAAATTAGCAAAGTAGGTAGAGAAGGGAGAAGAGATGTTGTCAGACACACACAGTAGTAGTATGTTATTATTTTGTTGTATTTCTATACTCTCTATTTTATTTTTATGATTTTATTACATTTTGGATCTCAATTGTATAATATTTTCTACATATATTAGTATATCATTTTCGACACATCCAATATTAGTCTCTTATTATTTTGTATGTCTATTTTTTATTCGATATCGTGCTTCATACTTCATCTAAAAATAAATACACAATTTATAGCAAAAAACAATCTGTTCTGATACTCTTCGAAGATGTATCTCTGAAATATTACCAGACATGCATCTCCGAAATAATTCAAATGTAAATGACTATTGAGTGACAAATTTTGAATGTTTAAAATTATTTCGGAGATATATCTATGAAATATGTCAACGTTTATTCAGAAATAGATTCGTCCGGATATGTATCTCTGAAATCAGATATGTGGAAATTCACATGGTACATTAAAAATATCTAGAGTGCAATAAGAAATCTCTCAAGATAATAGGGTGCCTATAACCTAATAAAAAAAGTCATTAACATAAACCCGCACAACCAAAGTCCGTATTTTGAACATTTTTAAAAATTTATAATATACTTCCTTTGCATAAAAAAAAAGGAAAAAAAACAACTTAGAACAAATACTAAGATGAGCGTGCGGAGAAATATCGATTGATGTATTAAAATCAGAAAAATCTCAAATTATGTGTGAATGTTAGTATTCACATTTTGCATTGAAATGTTTCACAAAATCTGTTTTATAAAATAATTAAAACTTTTATATTTTAAAATACAATGATGATTTTTTAAATTGTGAAAAATTTCAATTGAATATTATCCAACTTTATTGCACGCCTTATTCATTTCTTTATTTGTAAATTCTAATTGAATCTATGTGTTTGCATTCCTTAAATTTTTTGATTGAATCCTACATAATTTTTATAATAAAATTTTTTTATTATGTTTTTTTATTTATTTTAAATTTCAATTCAATACACCCCTTTAATATTCTTTTATTAACAAGTTGTCAAAGTTAGTTAGTTTATTAATGTAATAATGTATTTGGGCTCGTTTTATTCTTCTCATCTCTTATGGTTGGCCCTTATCATAGAGTGATGTGATTGGACAGAACATCTAGTATTTGGATTTTGGAAAGAATTAAAAGATCATTATAGTCAACAGAACATATATTGTATATTCAAATATCAATTTTTACAAATTATAATAAGCTCTTATTATTTATCTATGATAGACTTGAATTATTCTATTCTATCCCCTAATAAAAATTATTTAACAAAAAAAACAGACCTTAACTTATTTCTTTTTCACACGCTTAACAAACACATGACAAGTAAATTGAGAAAAACTTAATCAAACAACCAAAAAGCTCTGAAACAGATTAGAAACTAAAATTCATCATGAAATTAATATGATAAATTTCCCAAACTGGTTTTATACCATAGTTGGGATCAAATATACAACAACTATATATTATATATTAGGCCTAACTAGCGGGTGCCATATATGCCACCACAGCATTACTAACTCCTCCTAATCTACCTCTTTTCCCCCTCACACTTTCCATCTAAAACAAAGGAAACAATGCAATGCAATATATTACACACACACCACAAGTTTTTTTTTTAAACTTCAAATTAATGAAACTTATGTTTCTAGAATTGTGCCCCTGTAAATGTCTGTCCAAATTGCCAATTACTAGGCACAACGTTGTTGCTAGTGACAACCCTGCCATCACTTGTAGTAACCTGGAAAGAAAGGCTTTGACCGTTAAGGTAATTGTTGCTTTGCCAATTTTGCCCCCAGTTTCTTGACATGGTTTGCCACCCTGTTTTTGATCCTTTGATGGATACAGAATGAACATCTCCAGCTCCACCCACATTTGTTACCAAAACTAAGTTGAAGTATGAGTGTCCATTGATTGTGAACCTGATTCCTCCTTTCTTCACACAGGGGACTCTGTTTTAAGACCACAAAAATCTCATATTAGCACATGCTAGTACCTAAAAACTATGTACTAGTGATACTTCAAATTGAAGACGAGTCTGGTGTCTACGTATCAGTGTCAGAGTCTTTTATTTACTATTTTACAGTTAAAATTACAAGGAAACATGGTTGACTTTATTTTCTAGGGTCTATCTATTTACCTTCTGAAGGAAATAGGAACAATTCCAGCTTTGTATTGAGCAATTTGCAGGAAAGCAGGCTCAGCAAGATCAAAGTGCTGAAGAGGAGGGTTACACCATCCACCATTGGAATTAGACTCTGCAAAGTTTGGTGGACAAAAGTTTGTTGCAGTTACCAATATGCTTCCAGGAAGACACCATTTAGGGTCATTGTCACATCTCATCTCATAGCAAGACCCACAGCTCAATCCATTGTTAAATAGAGCAGTGCTTAGTGCAGCAGTGTTGGTTCCATAGCCTTGACTATACAAATTTCCATAACCACAAGCCCCTCCTGCAATTTTTTCAAAATCTCATTAAAAAAAATCAACCTAAAATAAAATAATATTTCAAACGAATCGAAACGACAAAAACTGAACAACACTGATATAAGATAAGATAGTTAAACTTACCCATTGTGCCGGAAGCATCTCCACCACCATAAAATGTGGCATGAGCACTTTCCCATCCACCTCCATAATCAGCAAAAGTGCCTTTAAGGCATAAGCTAAGAAGAAAGAAAGGAATAAAAATGAATGAGGTTGCTAGAAAAGCCATTGTGAGTACGCTAGTACTTGTTAGTGGTTTTGAGATAGGAGAAGTAGCTTTTATTATTTGGTTGTGCTTAATGCATTATCTAAGGTTTGGTTTGGTTTATATAGGAAAGTGAAGCATAGGTTGGGGAGAGTAAAGAGTGAGATATGGCCATATGGGGTCTTGTGTTAGAATTTCTTAGGGTCTAAAGAGAGAGAGAAAACAACAAAAAAGTTATACATATGTGCACATGGAAATGTTTCGGTTACACTACCAACTGCTTAATCTACGGTCCCACTTGGCACATGCAATTCTCAACTGTTTGCATCTTTTTTATTTTTTTTTATTTTTTCAAGTGGTTGTTACGTATGAAAATGTGTATTTCTTCTTAATTAGGTTCCCTGAAATTACGGCTTACATAAAATAAATGGACACTAATTTTGGGTTATCTAACCGGCCCTCTATGCATATACGTCCAACTTGGTGTGCACCAAACAAAGTAGACTTAAAGGCATTCATTTCTTGCAAATTGTGTAGATGCGAAGAAAAAGTTACAAAAGATAGATTTATGAATTTCTTGATAGAATCTGGTACCACAATAAATATTTTTGTGGGCTAGTAGTATTATAAAGTAATTAAACAAAATAAAATACTATTAATTTGAATCTCATTATAATTAAAAAGCAACCTATATTAAAATTGTTCTGATTATTAATCGAAAAACAATACTATACTAAGTCGTTTAGTAATATTTATCATGAACCTATAAATATAATATTTTTAAATACAATTATTATAGCAAAATGATCGTATTACTCTATTCTATTTTATTAGAAAGAATCATAAAATTAACACGAAAAATATTTTTTCTTCATTTCATTTGTATAAGAAAAATTATGATTATAATTCATATTGGACATTTAGAAATAATTTCTATTTCATTAATACAAGAGGATGTAAAACTATTTGGGTATCTAATGTTAAAAAATTAACTTGTGATCCAAGGTATTTGACAACTCAAAATAGTATCTTAATATTGATTGTTCAAATTATACGACCAAAATAAAAATATTTTTTCATCTTTTATTTCTAAAAAATGATTTTGTTCTTACGAAGACAACAAAGATAAAATTGTTGCTTCTAAGACTATTGATAATAGTCTTAATTCTATTTTTGAACTATTTTGATTGTTGAAAGTTTATAATACAATTTACTTAGTATTAAATAATTATGTGACAAAGGTAATAAAGTATGATTTAATCTTTTATATTTAAGGTCATTAAAACATAAATTTTTTTTTTTCCTTCAATTCATTTTTTTCAATATTATAAAAAGACCATCATGAATATAGAAAGTAGCATTCGATGAAACTAACCATATTTTTGTAGTAGACATATAAAATTTTGTTTGTGTATGTATTATAAGAACAAACTTTTTAGAAGATAAAGAGAAAATTAAGGAAGAATAATCTCAAAAAATTGAACAATCTCAAAATATCGTCATCTTGATAAATAACATAAGAAATATCTCAAAAACGGAAAAACATTTTTAAACAAATAAACTAAGATGTAGAAGGTCAACAAAAACTTCCGCTTAATGAAATAGTTTCAAAATTAGACGCTGCCAGTATGAGGGAGAACTATGGTTTTATGTCCTTTTTAAATGCGCATCTATATGCTTATTTTTCCTGTTTTTATCAAGTAACTAATCTCTTTTACATACAAATAGTTTCTAACTATTTCTTTTTTTTATGTGATTATTTGTTTTCAAGTTTTTTGGTAATGTCAAACCGAAAGAAATATATTCTAAGGGGAATAAAATATATTCTCTTTAATCTATGAAGGAAAGTTAACAAATCCAAATTTTTCATCTTAAACTTTTTGGTTTACCACCTCCCTGAAAGATGCATTTCCATCGTCTAAAAGGGAGGGATCATGGTTCGATGTGTTGTGTAGGTTATGATGTTATGTAGTTTTGATGATGGCAAAATAAAAAGTTAAAATAATCATGAACATCATTAATATAGAAGTTATCAAAAAGCTAAAATAAGAAGGTTTCGGTGCTGAGGTTGAAAATAGTAAAATGAAAAAATTAATATCGAATATAATTGAAGTTGTGAAAGTTCACATGATCTCGTGCTATAATTTTTACTTACTTATTTTTGATAAAAAAAAATTGTATAATTAAGCAATAGTAGCTCTTAAGGTACTAAGACAATGCACACACACTAAAACATTTTTTAAAACTTCATATATTTCAAAACCCTTCTAAAAATTGTTTCAAGCCTCTTACTAATCAATTAGGAAGCATTCTAACCAATTAGAAAAGTAAAATCTTGCTCTCTAATCAATTAGTACTTGTATCTAATCGATCGTGGAGCAAACTCGCCACCTAATCTCTTAGGAACCCTTTTAGCCGATTAAGAAGTGAACTTGACTAAATTATTTTCATATTTATTAGGTCTAATCGGTTAACATTGTAGACTATATAAAGGAGTCTTGTGCACTATTCAAATGTATGAAAATATAGTTTTATACTATTATTTCTCACTCATTCTCTTAATATAAATTGTTTTTATAGAATTGTAATTATCTTAGTGATGAGAAAGAATTAAAATAGAATCATGTAATTTCGTTGCTTAAATCAGATGTATTGTAATTGTAATTCAAGAGCTTAATTATCTTATAACATTGTAAGTGGTATAAGATTGCAAGCAAAACCTGAGTGTAAACTGGATGTAAGAAGGTTTGTAGGCCGATCCTGATGAAATTTTTTAAATTGTTATTGAAAATCTGAAGGGAAAATTTTCCGAGAATAGATTAAACCATGTGGTTTAAGGACAAAACACTATAAATCCTATTATGATATCTATAATTCTTCTCTTTTATATTTGTTTAATTTATCTTCCACGCTTAGTCTCCCACTTCATCTTATTTCTTAAAATTGATCAAACTTAAAATCAATATTTTGCGGGTTTTTTCTCTTTTTTTTCAAAAACTATACAACACAATTCACCTCCCTCTTGTATTTTAAGTCACCTAATCAATACATTAGTCTTGTGTATTAAACATGAATATAAATAACATATTTCGTTTAAGTTTAGAAGCACACTTCACATTGTATAGAAGAAATTCATGGTTATCAAACATCTTTAAACAAATATAATTGATACATTGGAGATTACAAGCCTTATCATTTCTGAGACGAACAACTTCACGAACGACTCCACATTCTTTTAGCTCTAGGGTTTCAATGTATCCATTTCTCTAACACATGTGATAAGAGCATTCACCATCAATAACTCAATTATTTTCAATTTTCTAACTAACCACCACCAACGCACTCACATTTTTATAAACCTTATCTAAAGCATCTGCAATCTAGATGATATTTTTATTGGTATCTTTGTCTTTGTCTGAACAATCCTGATAGGTCTTAAGATAATTGATAAACTTATACTTCAACTTGTTAACACCCTTTAACTTAGATTTTGATCTATATTTCTTTCCTTTATTGTGACCCTTTACTTTCATTTCCCCCCTTTGAAATATTCAAACTTTCACCGACATTCAATTCTTTCATTTTATTACACTGATTAATTCTAATAATTAATTGAACCTCCACTAAGATGATAGTACATTCTTAACCATTAACCATAAATAGAACATCCTTAAAATATTTAAAACTTTGTTCTCATCATCATACTTCACCTTAATAATTTGCAAATTTCAATAACATTTTTTAAATATGATAATTTCTTCACAATGGACTTTGACTTCACCATTCTAAATGAGTAGAATTATTATTTCAAGTACAACTTATAATCCAATAATTTGATCATATACAACTACAAATGAGTGATCTTTCTTATTAGTAGCATAACTTAGAAAAAAAAATTCTTAAATTTTAAATTTTATTTATACATTTAGTAAATGTTGACTTAGGTTCACCTTTTGCCTAAAAAAATGCTAGTAATATCGTAGCCCATTTTGAATTAATTATCATCTTCCACATTGAATGAGCCAATCTAAGTTGTAGTATAGCTTTATTTTATGACTGCTAGAATCCATTGTCCAGTCCCTTTCTGCACATAATCACAGATACACAGAACCCTTTCTGTGTTCTACTTGCTTCTTCTTCTTGTGTACGAAAACGACGAAACAGTTACACTATTAAATTCGTATGCAGAAGATTATTTAATACTCGAAAGAATCACAAAGCACATAGTAGACTTTATTTTTAAAACCAATACTGATTTAAAAAAAGAGAGAAATACAAATTCTCTTTTGTCTCTTTGTTTTGCTTGCATAACTCTTTTAATCATGGCATATAATTAAATTAGTATTAGTTAATTAGTCAGTTCAGTTGATTAGTACTTTGAAAGGATCCTATATTATATTTTTGTCGGTTACTATGACAAATTATATTCTAATAAGCAGATTATATTAGTGTGTGAATGTCTCTATAAATCAAAATATATTATCTATGCTTATTTGTACGGTAAAACTAGTAAGTTTTGTTGCGTCACTCTTCGTAGAACACAAAAAACTTTGGCAGTTAATATTAAGCTTTAATTTCTTGTAAATATACTTTTTTTTTAACCTTTTAAAGCGGAAAATTTTGCATGAAATTTTGTGGCTAAGTGGCAAGTACTCCTCATTTTAAGTATTTCTTAAATGTTTACGGAAGCTTAAATAAGAATGTTAAAAATTTAATCAATATGTTAAAATTCTTATTTAACCTATTAAAAAATTTCATAAAAGTCTAAAATATATGAGGTAGTGTTAATCGGTTTTGGCTCTTAATAAAGTTATACTTATACACGTCTTAAGAAAAAATTATTGCCTGTACTACTTTTTATGATAAAACATAATGTATCATTACTAATATTAGTTAGTTGAATAGTTATTATGTGAAGTATAACCCGTAAGTTCAACGTTGATTATTGATGTCTAAATTTTAGATATGTAAGAATTATTGTTCATATACCCCATCTTTCTTAAAATAATCTTTTATAATAATAA